ACAATATTAGATTTTTTGATATCTAATGAAACTCGATTTTTAGAATTTTTTATTACGTATTGTAGATATTTAGATCAAAATTTTGAAGAGTTTCGAATGGAATGTGATAAGTTTGATAAGGAGATTTCCAAAATAATTTATAAAAATAACTTTGAACCAAATATTGTGGACAATATGGAAACGGATTTAGACGCTATAAATCAAGTAAATGAAGCATTTTGTAATCTTAGAGAGATTATACAATCGCTAATGGATAAACAATTATTTCCTTATAATGCAAGCTCTTTGATTAAGAGAATTAAAAAAGTGGAAGAGATGCTTAATAGTTTAGATGATTAAATGTTTAAATGTTAATAATTTAAATTGCTAAATGTTCAAATTCTTAAGTATGGTTTATAAACCAAAACAATCAAATAATTTTGGTCTAAATTCAATTCCAAAGTTTTTTTTTTAAATAGTAGGATGTACTTAAAGGGAATGCGTTTCTTTCCATATAAAATGTTTTTTTCTATTAGCCCGACCGTCACATATAGCTTTTGGGACGGCAACCATGATCTTTTGTTAATCTATCTGGACAACAACCATAATTTTAGATAGCGATAGAAATGCAAAACAGTCTGATTTTTTGTCACACCACTCAGAAATGAATTAGTTAAGCAAAAAAGCAAATGCTTATGTTTGCTAAGCATCATAAGTAGGGTTGCTGGTGCAGGTGGCGTCGCCACTGGTGCAATGCTTTAAATTTATATGATAACTTAATGGTGCAGTAGTGGTGCACCACTTGCACCAGCAACCCTAATCATAAGTATTTGCACAAGATGCAGAAAACCTATAATTGTTTCCTCGATGAGACGCTCTCTCAAAAAATTGTTCACCCCCTGTAATTTTGACCAATCGAATTTCAGGATCAGGTGCAACGTAAAAATCGAAACGAAACCATTTTTTACAAAAAAAAAAACATAGAAAACCACCTTCTGCGGCCTAATTAAAAATGTACCTCGTGATGTTTTACTGATCGGCGTTATATTGCTCTAATACTAGCCCTAATTATAACACAGTTTTCTTGGCTTTCATTTTACGCGTAACTTTTTTACTTAGAAAACAAACCAAGTTTGTTTTGCACCTGATCTTAAATTTTGATTGGTCAAAATTACGCTACCTAAAATGTAAAGTTCTAATCAAACTCCGGCCAAAGAAAATATTACGTGACGCATGTCTATAATGTATGTACTTATGTTATACTTTTAATTTTATTTAATATTTTATGATATATTATATGATTGTTTAATAATCTTTTTCTAAAACCTTTCAATAGTTAAGGATATGTATTTTTAAGTTTGTTACTATACTGATAAAGGATTATCCTGCATGCACTAGCTAGCAGTTTTAGACAGGCGCCAACTTCAAATACCTGAAGTTGTATTTTCAAGTAGATGCCAACTTCAGGCACGATATTAATAATTTAATAGAAAAAAACAAAGTGCATGGCTTATTTTATAGCAATAGATATATAAAGAATAATAAGCTATAATCACAAAGAGTTTTCATTAATCACACGAATCTTAACAATCAGATTATTGTATTAAGAAATATAAATCATTCAGGTATCAAATTACAAAACATAAATACCTGGGTGATTGATTAGAATCTGATTTTTTCTCTTAAATAATACTAAAATTATAATTATAAGTATTTTTAAGCTAATTGATTATTTATGTCAAAAGACTTTTGTTTATTTGCAGATCATTGTTAACTATAGAAAAGCTATTAGAGAGAATAATCTCTTGTTAAAAAGTACTGCAAGAAGAGACTTTTCTCTGGTATAGTTTGCATGATATCATCTGATATACCATTTTATAGAAGTTGCAGATAAGGTGCAATTGCTATGACTTAATCTGATTATATAAAATATTGTAGAAAAAAATTGTGCAATTTTGCAGTCAGGGCTTTCTAACTAGCATTAAGAACTAGACGCAATTTTAGAGGAGATAAATAAGGCTTTGAAAATGTTAATACCTCTTGTTCTACAAATTAAGTTTATTACAGCATACATCATGTTAGACATTTCTAGAATAATCTGATCAATATCTCTATTACTATAAAAAGAAATATCTAAAGCAGAGCAGATTCTTATAATATATATTTTATTGAATTAACTTTAGGGTTAGAGTCATCTTATATTGGGTTAGGCTAGGCTTTAGGTAGTTAGATATAAGTAAAATTACCTTTCTGACATTTTTAATTAACCTATTTGAGGTAGGTTT